TGATGTTTTCACCATCTGCTAGAATTACAACAGATACTAATAGTGGTCAAAAGAAAGAAATGTAAAGATCACTGTTTTTAGAATGGTCACGAGCCATAGGAAGCTATTAGGTTTCCTGAGGACAAATAACTGTGTTGTCTGGATTTCTCAGGTTTCATTTGATGAACTGTTAATGCCTAAATCTATTCTATTGCTCTAACTGAAAACATCAGACAGCCAAATATGCTATTTACTTCTTCCATCAAAAGTGTCAAACTGGCTATTATTTACTGTTACTTTGCAGTCTGTGTGAGAGCCAAAACTTAATTTTATCACAGACATACATGTTGACTTCCTTAATTCAGGGAAGAGGAGAAGAATCAAAGGCAGTAGTAATGATTATTATTCCTTAAATCACAATTAGTCAAAATTTCACAAAAGACCTTTTCCCCAGGTGCTTCTTGATCTTGCCAGCCTGATTTTTGAAGAGCAGCAGTCTTTGGAAGTAATTCTGAAGAAGATAGCTGCCACTATAATATCCTTCATGCAAGTGCAGAAGTGTACCATCTTCATAGTGGATGAAGATTGTACTGTGAGTATGTTCTTTGTCTAAAAGCAGAAGTGCTTATTGCCTGAAAGCAGACTGGGCTTCCCTCCATTCTGACCAACAGTATTTCAAACCCGTAGTGTATGTTGCGTCACCTTTTCGTCCTCTTCCTTTTCTTTTATGGCATCTACTCAGGTTACATGTTGTCTTGGGAGGCTTTGGTCTTTATGTAGGCCAGACTACCATTTTATGCAGCCATTTTGCATTACCTTTTGATAAACTATGGCTCTAAGCAATCTCCTGTGGCATAGATCTTGAATGCCGAATTCTTTCATAACTCATTTTCTTGGCTACTGATGTAGGACATCAAAAAGGACAAGGCTGGGAGAAAAGCAATGTGGCCTTTGCTTCCTATGCAGAATCAGTTTGGATGGCACTTTTAACTTCCTGAGTATATCTACACAGAGACTATCTAAATAAGGTGTCTAAACAGAGTCATGGCCTGTGCTAAGATCCTGGCTCACTGAAGCCAAGCACAACTCCTTTCCAATCTGCCCACCTGAATCTCCTTCCTATTGAAAATAGGCTGCAGAACAAGGAGCAGGGTATTATGTTGCGTGCCTCAGTCTTGTACTGGCATTGCTAGTTTTACCTTTACTACTTGTTACAGATATGGGCGTACTGAGATCTGGAAGTGAGGAAGCATTTCCAGGTTCTGTAGCACAGAAATGACACACAGCACTTTTGATCATCTGCCACAATCCCATCTCTCACAGTATTTAGAAGGGTCACTCCTGCATACAAGAATACAGAAGAGGAATTTACATAGTTTTTGTATTCACATATTCACAGTGTCCTTGCAAGTTAGATAAACTCCAGCACCTAGTTTACAGTCTGTAGTTTGAATCTTTAGTACAGAGAGAATCTTAATTTCTTTCTACGTTTAGGCTTTTCAACTGCTAGAAAAAGCTATGTGAAAAGCAACAGAGATCAGTCAATATGTTCAAAAGGCTTTGATGTCTTCACCTGTCCAAGCAAAGCGAGTCTAGAGTTGGATGAATGTTAAAATAAAGAAGTTCTGGGCTGACAGATAAATTCGGCACAGCTTGTAAATACTGGCATTTCTTGTCAGAGTGATCAGTAGAGATTCAAGACACTTCAATGATATTTAAAGTTGTATCAAAAGATATTTTTGTGGTAGGATCCTATACACTTGCTGCTAGATGTGAAATGAAGTTAAATAATTTTCCACTTGTCTTTATTACAGAATAGGTTTTGATAACTGCAACAAATTTTTCATGAATACTACTATTCTAACTTACGAGAAACTTATACACCTATATATTATAACATCCTTTTGTTATTCCAGGATTCATTTTCTAGTGTGTTTCACATGGAATCTGAGGAATTAGAGGATTCAGCTGAAAATCTGAAGAGGTAAAACAAATAATAACAGATCTTATTTCCACTGGGTACCATGTATGACTGCTATTTTTATAGAGCAGGTTTTGCCCTGAAATGTATATGGACAAACTCTATTGCCTTAAAAAGGTCATACTGAGCAGAATAGGAGAGAAGGGCCTGATCTCTTAACTTTGTCAGGTCTAAGTGCATAGCTGGATCATGAGGCTGAGCTATGGAAATGTACAAAATATGAGAAGTAAAAAGTTCAGGTTGTGGGCTGCTCTAAAACTGATCTGTAAGAAATCTGCATAGATGACTGTTGTAGAGTAGACATGTCCACATTAGTAGATACTAATTTTAATAGTTTTAATCATTAATCTTATTTCATAGATACGGAAGCTGACTCAAAGAACATGATTGACTAATTCAAGAATAAAGTCCTAAAGTTCTAACTTTCAGTCATCTTTGAGAAACCATTAAGAAGGTCAACTGGGAGGAAGGGAAAGATGTGGAAATAGTTGAATTAAAATACCCAGATTAAATAGTTTTCAAATTTCCAAATTTAAATAGTTCCAAGTTTCCAAATACCTCTGCATTGCAATTTGAAAATTACTGTCTCCATTACCTTTCTCTGTCATCAAAAACAGTTGTTTTCAATAATGTCAAAAGAGTGAGACACAGTTGTATATAAAATGCACTACTACAGATATAGTGTGCAGAAAGAAAATGGAGATTTCTGTACCTCTTTGATCTTTTTTGCAGTGAACATTTATTATATTAAATTTAATTCCATGTATTATAAAATTAAGTGCAAAGTGTGTGGCTTGAGCAACTAAAAACTGTTGAGCTGTATTATGGTTTTAGACAATGTACAACCAGAAAGTACAGAGGTACAACAGGCTAGTAAGGTCACAGAGTGGAAGAGAAAGTTTCTGTTTACTTCCTCTTCTACAGTATGGGAATGGTAGAGAGAATTAACCTTTCCTATTCATTTTCCCTTTCACGGTTACTAGTTAGTGGATTCAAAATGGAATTGAAGGGCACAATTTTGGGCAACAGCAGAAATAATAATGACATGGATTAGATGGGAAATTTTACTTCACGTAGTAAAATTTCAGGCTTATTATGTAATCAAGGACCCTGAATCAAACCCGAAATGATACCAGTTTTCAGAATTGTGAGGCATTCCCATGTATAACTAAGTTTGTGAAATAACGGAAGAATAATTCCCTTCCTCCAGCACTGTGAACATCCTTACACCAGAAGGATAACTAAAGTCAAGTCAAATGTCAGAGGGAAGCTCCAGGAGCTTGATGGGACTAGGTTTATTATTAGGACATATGTCCTCCTCTAAAGCAGGCAAAGGGTCCAAGAGAATTGAATGCCTTAATTAAATACATCGTGACTAAAAAAAGTAGGAGATGATTGATTCTATAAAGATACTTTATGTCCTGATTTGGAATAAACAGTTCTATTTCAGTAACAGAATCCCCATGCAACTAATTGTGCCTTTACTTTTAGAACAAATTTGAAATGAACTTAGAAGCAGAAAATTCACAAATGTTACCTGCTGCACTCCATTTAAAGAATATGTGAATTTCATCCACTATTGATTTTTCAAGTGTATCAGATTTGTGAATGGAGTTTGTTTTCAAAAAAATCTGTTTATTTCAATATAAGCCCAGTTGTTCATTCTCTATCCTTCATCTGCATAAACTGTACTGATTTGTTTATTTCTTAAGTTTGGTGTTCAGTGTTAATGTTGTTGAATATTAAAGAAATGGTGGAATGTATAACTCAATCCACTCTGCAATTCTGTGATGACAGCTGGATTAGGATACAGGATTTGAACTCAACTCCATTATATATCTGTTGGTTATATCTTTCCTCATACAGGAAAGATAGTACAATTACCTGCTTTGCATAAGGAAATGACCCATTTTCATACTAAGCACATAATAATAATGTTGTATCCTTCAGGGACTATGATACAAACAAAATCAATTATATCTATGCTCAGTATGTCAAGAATACAATGGAGCCTCTCAACATCCCAGATGTCTGCAAAGACAGAAGATTTCCCTGGACTGTAAGTAAAATAAGCTTAGATTTGAAATTCAGAAATGGAAAATGTTTTTCTATTTACCTTTCAAGCCTTTTTTGTTTTCCCCTTATTATTGCTGTTAATGTAAAAGCCACAGTTAGAATTATGCAAACACAAAGGAACGTACGTTTGCTGGATAAAATCCATTATCAGTGAAGAAGTGGTACAGTACTCACCCAGTGAGCCGGGTGGCCACAGGAGGGATTTATCCCTACAGCCATTATTGAAAAAGCCTGACATTAATTTGTCCATAAATAGTGCAATGTGGAGAGCTTGCAATATGTTCCATGGAAAACATTTAAGTGAAGGAACAGTTGGAGGCTTTCATAGTAACCCTCGGTAGTTTACTGTGAGTGTTGGGAGGCTTTAAGAAGTTCCTTCCCTTTTATCCTCTCCTTTCCCTTCTTGTTCTGGCAAAGATTAATGTTATAGATGCAAGTTCTTTGCTGTTGTGGAGAAGGAATAACTTCACTTTTCTTTGGGAGCTTTTGCTTCACACTTCATCAAGTGTGAGCTTGTGGTACGGTATACTGCTGACCACACAAAGTTAGGAGGGAAGATCACTTGGCAAGACTCACATTACCTGGTTGCCTTCAAAATCGTCATCAACAAGAAGCAAACTTGTAATTCTGTAATTTCCTGTCAATGCTGAAATCTGAACTTTACCATGAAACAGCAGGTTCTTCTCAGGGTAGCCATAAACCGATTTTCATGCAAGCTTGACTTTGTGTTTCTCAGCTGCCCTTGCTGGAGAGTTCTAGGGAGAGATGCTGATTCTTATATCCTTTTTTACAGCTGATTTCACAGGTATATCACAGGGCAGAAAACAGCAAATCCTACTCTTGAGTTATTCCATACACCCTCTTGATAACGGACTACTATTAAGTAGTAGTACTTAAGTTCCAAGAGTCATGTAAAGTATCTGGCATGACTTAATCCTTTAATATTTTCTTTAAAGAATCACATTTTCTCTTGCCACTTGTAAGCATTATAACGTTTGTGCATTTGCCTGCAAAGAAACTGTCTACAATCCTTGCACAGCACCAGAGAGCAGAGCAACAATAGTAAAAAAAAAAAAAAAAGTTTTAATCTGAAATATAAGTGTGTACCTATTTTTTTTGTGTCACATACAATTAGAGATTGGACCAAATGTACTTCTCAGCAACTGCCATGTTATTCCAGGAGAAGTCAGAGCAGAACTACGCATTTGAAAAAGATATATTGTCTTTCTGTTCCACCCTTCCACTCCCAAATAAATTCTGTTTCCTTCTCTTGGAGCAGGAAACATGATAAAAAGTCTTTGGAAGGCTGCAGAATGTTGACATAGTTGGTGATAGTTTTCCTACCTGTTGTTCATGGGATCATAATTTCGTCTTCACTAAGCCCCCTTTCATTGTGTTGGTGGATTATTCAAAGCATCTCAAACAAACCAAAAGAGTTTTTTAGTGCCACAAAATGCACAGTTACGTTAATGTCAGGTAGTTACTCTTGTTTTATGACATCTGTTCCTTACATTGCCATATTGCAAATGAGGGAATGTGCTGGAAAAGGGAGAGGTCAGCTCATCACCTGATGAGAGTAAAAAGGTGTCCTAAAGCCCAACTGATCTCTTTTCAGCTGCACCGAGTGGAACACTTTGTTTGGTGCAAAGTTGTCATTTTCATGGACGTGGTGTCTTGTAATGAAAGACCCTATTATGAAATTTGCACATTTATAGCACAGTTACACAAGTTGCTGTAAGCTCCTACTGAATGAAGATTATCATAATTACCTGTGTTATTATTCACCGAAGCTTGTATCAGATACAGTGTTTATTATACCATCCATCCAAAGATGTGCAAACTCTTTGAAGACGTGGCTGCTTTTTGGAGGAGTATTTAAGCCAAGAATAGTTGTAGACCCCAGCTCTGCAGCTTTTTCCATTCAGCCACTTGAACGTGAGTCTTTAAAATGTTAACTGTGTTTTTTTGTTTGTTTAACAGAATGACAATGCAGAAAATGTAAGTCAGCACATAAAGAGTTTGCTGTGTACGCCGATAAAAAATGGGAAAAAGAATAAAGTGATAGGTAGGTGTCTTTAAAAAAAATATTTTTATACATTTCATAGAAATATTTCTGTGCTTCACAGTAAAATCCCAGCAACATGGAGAAAAGATCATTATTTATCACTTTTTCAACTAAGTCCACTGCAACCTTGACTGTAAATTGCTTGCCTAACAAGTTACCAAGTATCTACAACCCTCTTGTGATACTTCACCATTTTTATAGCTTCTCTGCATTCTGAAATTTTCTGTAAGTAAAATTATTTTCATTGCTTCCTGTTTAGAGAGTCAGTTACCACTCTTGCTTGTGTAAATCTTTTACAAGGCAGCGAAAGGAAGAGAAGATGTAAATCAGTAAATAAATTCTTCAGGCTTGAGCTGTCTGTAGTGCTGGGCTTTTAGGGAACAGGGGGCATGCGGAAAGACAAGCTGAACTGCACAGACATTGACAGGCTCCTCACATGGGATTCGGCTACGGAAAGATTCACACAATAGCAGGCTAGCTGCTGCTGCCTGGTGCTATCAGTTGCCCTTTGGAGATGCCTGCTTCTATCTGTGAATTACAGCCCTATCTTAAGACAATAGTTTAAGTGTCTAAAGCTACCCAGCATAAATATCTCTGCAGCATCTCCTTTGCTTTTCTTCTGTTTTAAAGTACCACTGGTTTCCTGGGCCAATATTTTCAGAAGTAATTTGACATCACTTAAGTCCATATAGGCCTAGATGCTTATGGAAGCTGAGAAGCCCGATTATCTCCAGTTTCCTAAAAATATTTAGGTGGCGGTGGTCTGGGTCCTCAAAGATGAGTATACACCTAAATAGTTTTGAAGATCTGGTCATGGAATAAGCTTAATGAGCTTTAAGTCTTTCAGTGAGTTTCAGATTCACCTTAAACAAACAGATGATGATGCTTTTGGAAATTACCAGGACTTCCCTGTCCCATGAAGAGTAGAATGAGTGTCAGCCTGCTTCCCTGGTATCTCTAAGTTCCACAAGCAAATAGAACATAAAATATACTGATTCCTAGATAGCAGCATGAATCCAGCTTCCTCAGCTTTACAAAATTTGGCAAGTAAATGTTAAGAGTTCCAAGAATGCATTTTTTTAATGGTCTTCAAATAATTTTCCTTGAGAATTATGGCAAAACTGTATAATCCAATGTATATAGTAAATATGAGATCTCTTTTCTACAAAGACAGATCTCTTTTTTTAACTCTTGAAGCAGAAAGAGAAGCATCATCTCCATCTAACGGAGTTCTCTGAAATTTCTTTTGATATCAGCTTCTTTAATAAGTTCTTTAATTACTTTGTTTTAAATATTCTACCAGACCCTAGAAGACCAAGATGAAGATTCAAGTGTTGAGCTTTAATTAGATACGTTTCACTGTGCTATTAGCTACTGATAAAACTGTTGCATCTGATCTCACATAGTTTTTTCCTATTGTTATTTTCTGTGGAAGTTCGAAGTGAAAGTTTCAGTCAGGCCACCCATTTAGATGAGTTTTTCAAATCTCAGTAATTCTCACTGGGAAATGTTCTTTGAAGTCTTTTAAGGTTTCACGGCCTGCCTAATGTTCAGATCTTTAATGGGGCAAGGTCAAGAAGTTGTCTTTGGGACAATACCCAGAAGTTCCTTTAGCATACTATATACTCTGTAAGAATATTATTGTAAGTCTACTCTTTTATTTTTAAGATTAGTATACCCCTAACCAGAATTTAGGAAGTGGGGTGTGCAGATGGGCGTGGGGTTGGAAAAACCGTCCACAGCAAAACCAAGCAAATCTTACTGGCAAGAAAGATGAAATATAACTTTTTAATTCTCCCAACTTGTGCACTTTTCAGGTATGTCATGAAAGCTTTACGGAATCTTTCTGTGGTTTTATAAATATGTCCCAATAAAAGACTTTTGAGTTCCTTTAATTGTAGTGTATGGATCCCTCAATGCTTTGGGAAAGCTTTGGAGAAAGGTTTCAGTTAAAGAATCTTAAGTACTACATAGTATATTTACTGCAGTTCTCTCAATTTTTTAAGAGACAGTTACATGCATCTAAATGCTGCATCTTTTAAGAATTCATTTGCTTTTGTGGCTTATTCACTTCTGAGTCTTAATCTTGTGTTCATTACGTCACAGTTGCTATGGAAATAATTATAATGTCATAAACAGAACTAAACAGAGATCTGGAAGTGAGTTTCATGAGATTTTCCTATTGAGTTTTATAAGTCAGCTTCTTTTTCCCAGGGAAAGTTAATCTTGTTCTCAGTGAACCCTTATTTGCTGGGATTATATATTTTTACTATCATTCAAGCATCTAGTCATCTCATTCCATTAAGGTTCAGAATCCTGTTTGAAATATCCAGATACCACAACCCCTGCCACAACAGTTTACAGCTACAGTTATAATATTCTTACTGATCTCTTTAGAGGAGAAGCTGATCTCAAGTAAGCTCCCCAAACAGAATGTAATTTGGAAACAAGACAGTGTTACATTGTCACCAGACATTAAAACTTCTAAATGAACAGTCAATGTTCTTCTAAAAAGACAGTTTGCATGTGTTATCTACATTCTTTTCCTCAGTTTTTCTACCTACTGTAATAGGGATGATGCATACTTGCTCCCTCAGAGACTTCTTTTCCTTTTAATTAAAAACCTCAATACGCTTTTTTAGTCTGCAAATATGGAGTACTAAAATGCTGGAAATATTTTCATATAAAAAATTATTAGCACTGACAAGACCTTACAGTAGCTGCTGATTATGTTCACTGTTGGCACTGCTGTAAAATAGTATTAATTATAATTTCTTCCCTACCCATAAGCAGAAAGCAAATCTGGCCTCCCTGACCTTATGGCGGTGAAGTGTAAGGCATTCAGATTCTGTTCATATATCCCATGGAAATTAGGAGTAGCTCCACTTATGCAAGAAAACTTAAAAATTGCTAAGAGTGTTCTGGAAACACCATGCTAAACAGTTATTTTCTTTTTCTGGTTAAATACATATTTAATATTTTACTCTTTCTGCTGCAAAATGTTCTTCATAAAATACATAAAGTATGCAAACTGGAATGCAATAGCAATTCATAGAAAAGGAAGACTTCTTTATTTAGTAATTTTTTTCAGAAGTTTCAATTTTCAATGATTATTTTCACTGTGATACTTATTTGCAGTTGGCCAGGAAAATGCTAGCTTTTATGCTCAAAACTGTTAGTACTCACACTCATGAGACTGAGAAAACATTTGGACTCACTTAAGACGACAACGACCTCCAGAGCAGTTTTGGCCAAAGACAACGTATACTTACAGTGTGGCTGCTTTAGTGAATATTCTGATTTCTTAGCAGAAACTGCCATCTGCTAGGTAAAACTAAAGTGAGGTTTATGTGTGAACTTCCCTCTGATTATAATGGCGTCAGGGATTTAAGCTGCAGCAAGGTCTGGCAGAAGTTACCTTTCAGACCTTTGGATGGCACGTGCACAGAAAAGTCCAGGAATTCTTAACAGAAAAAAACCACATGCAACTATCAACAAATTTGAACCTGGCAAGCTGAATTCAGTCAGATGATTTTCAGTAGTTCAGCGGTCTTTGGAGCAGGCTGCAATTCAGTCACATCCTCATAGAATCAGCGAGTGTATTTAAGCTTTGAGCCCCAACTTGGGTATTCTCTGTTTAGTTCATTTATTTTAAAGAATTAACAGTACTGACTCAAATAAGGAAGTGAAAACTCTGTGTACTGCTGTTCTGACTTTCATAAATGTTCTTTTGGCATGGTTACAAAAATTTAATTAGCCTCCAAAGGACAAATTGTCTTCAGGGATTAAATCAATCTAGAATTCTATTAATAATAAAAGTTAGGATGAAAACGACCCTAGAATCTCACAAGATAATCAAGTCTGTAAAGCCCTACATTTTTGTTTTACAAATCCTAATAAATACTTATGAGTCTACTAAGTAATATATAACACTTCAGCATTTATTCTATAATACAGTGAAATTAATCTAAAAAACTTCAGGGAAAACCCTACAGCTCTCCTGTGTGTCACTTTTATGTATATTGGTGGTTTGTACTGTAGGCTAAACTGTCCTAGATCTAATTTTACTCTTGATGTTCCATACAAGTTGGCATACATGTTGGCAGTTCTCTGTATTACTTCTTTTAATTTCTGTATCCTGGCATAGGGGTTTGCCAGCTTGTGAATAAGATGGAAGAAAACTCGGGCAAAATCAAGGCTTTCAACAGAAATGATGAACAGTTCCTGGAAGCATTTGTCATCTTTTGTGGCTTGGGGATCCAGAATACACAGATGTACGAAGCTGTAGAAAGAGCCATGGCCAAACAGATGGTGACATTAGAGGTGAGTTCAAAATCTAGGTGGTCCTTAATTAGCCCAAAACAGATCCTAATTTTCTCCAGACCCTGCCTGTTCTACACATAAGTACAGCTACTCACACAGATACTGAACAGAAATTGTTCTCCTCCAGGAGAACAGCATTTGGCCTGTTGAGTTGCACAGGAATTTTTCTGCTTGTTTCCATATCTGCCAGCAGACAACTTTATTTGGTATTGTATTTTAACTTTACTCATGAGATTTAATGGTGAGCTGAATGCATCTTTTCCTCTCCATGAGGCTACACATTGGCAACACAGCGGGTTTGTTCTGTTGCGTAGGAAGAGGAAATGGTTTGGGGGATTAGGGGCTTCCTTTTCTTGTCTGAGGTTTTCTGTGATGATTTTGGCTCAGTCCTTCAGACGAACCGGTTTGTGGAGTAACAGCAGCATTATTGTAGGTTTTCAGCAATTTCCTCAGACTCCATCAAACCATATCAAGGTGAACGTCATCTGGTCTCAGCCTTTGAATTGGTTACTGTTAAGTTTAATAGCTAAAGAGGGCTTTAGTCTGAGAAGCTGAATTACTCAGAGGTGATAACTTGAAGCTGAAAGTGAAAAATTTGTAGACTTTGGATCTCCTAACATTCATTATGTAAACAAAGCATTTGCAGAATTCCTAAAATGGGGATTATGTACCCCGTAGCCTCTAAAAGAAACGTTACAACTCTCAGATAAATCTGTATTAAGTCATGTTAAATAAAGAGGTAGTAAAATTATTGTCAAAATAATTTCGGTGCTTTTTTTCAAAAAAGAGTTGTTTATATTTATGGCAAATTAGCAATTCTCTCTCCTACTACAACACTTTATAGATAATACAGGAAGCCCAGACAGATTATAGATTAGTATGTAAGATGGCTTCTTTACAAAAAAAAGTCAGTCTCTAGTCGCTAAAACACCTCCGCAACATTTTCAAGTCCTGTGTTCTCAACAGCTAAAAAAGGTGAACTTAGTTTGTTAATTTAAAACAAACATATTGTCTTTCAGACGTTCTTGCCAAGTTTCAGTTAGGGCAAATCTTTCTTTTATGTCTCAATAAACTCCTGAAAGGATTATTATGGCAACAATGTCAGGCTCATATAATTATAGCTGTTTCATGTTTTATTTGTCTTTGAAAGTGGGGCATGAAAACTTTCCAAAGAGAAAATCAGAGTTCTTTGCTCTTTTATAGAAACTATTTATGTTTTCTTGGCCTAATTATCTCAAGAAGGTTCTGTGCTGTGGGAGATTTATGAAAGCCGCAGATATCTCCCCATATCCTTTCAAAGAGCTCCCTTAAAACCAGGGCAGGCCCTGCATGGACACTAGATTTCATCAGCAAATGCAACGCAGTACAGTGCAGCTGCTTTAGGAAATTCTGCTTTAGGAAAGATACCTTTTTATCACACTGCTTTTCTGTTTGTACTAAGGGCTGCTTTTCTCTCTCTCTAGGTTCTCTCATACCATGCTTCTGCTGCTGAGGAGGAAACGAGGGAGCTGCAGGTAACAGCGGTAATTGAATTTTTTACTATTATTTTAGAGATATCCCATTAATAGAACAACGAAGGGCAGTCCTTTACACAGATGTGATCCCTAAACATGCAGAAGCACATCTTCCAGAAATAAAAATTACAGTGAAGCTTAAACTGATCAGTTCCTGAGTTGAATCAATACATCACCTAAAAGGGAAACGTTACAATGCCTACAGTGAGAGACATAGGTTGGCCAGAGAGCTGCCATTACAGGAGAGCCAGACGTATACTGACTGCCTTTCTCGTGAGTTTAAGGGACAGTAACAGCTGATGCAATGTTAGTATTGACTCACAGTGGTTGAGAATTTCAGAAGCAAAATGTCGAGAACTCTTCTTTCTGCAGCTGAGTCTGACTGTTGTATATTTGATATCTTTGGTACCTTTCAAGCATCCCAAGTATGGGTGCAGCTTTATGGCCTTACACAGAAATTCTATATTTAATTATTAATGCAACAATTTTTTTTAATTATTTTTATGGTTACTTTTCTGTGCAGTGTCCTGTTCTGCTCATGTTTAATTCTCTGTTTAGAAACCACTGCCTAAGGACTAACTACAGCTTTGATTTCAAGTGTAGTTCAAAGCACAGCCTGTGCTTAGTCTCTCCAGTTCTCTCTGTTGAGTAGACGTTCTGGGGGAATAGCATCACCCCTGCTGTATGAAAAAAAAATGGGAGGGATGAATGCAGCAGATTTGGCTTCCTCTAGCCTAGTCTTGCAGCACTATTCAAGCAGGTTTTGCACGTCAGATTTACCACATATCTTCACGTCACATCCCAGGGCATGGAACAAATACCCTTATTTTCATGCTATGAAGCCATCACTCTGAATTTTAACAGAGCAATCAGATTAGTTCAGATCATTTGATCTGAAAAAAAGAAAACAGGCACTAAAAATAAGGGTATCTTAGAACTTCAGTGGACCACATGGGGCCCAAAGCAAACCATGAACCAAGTGCTATGTAGTATGGACAAATCATCTTGTGGCATTTCACCTCGTTGCTAGAGAATAATCCCTGTCCTGTTTTATATAGCAGTATAGATCTAACTAGCTCATTGATAATTTGGTTTCTTCTTTGGCTTTTGTGTAGAAGATAATTAATTCAGTGACCATTCCTAAAATGGCTCCTTTAGCCATTATTCTTTTCTTTAGAAAGCTTAATTTGAATATTTGGTCTTAAGTCTTGCACGTGGTTCTTACTGGCTTCAAAAGAGGCTTACTCTGTAGGTAGGTTGAGGCTGGCATTCAGTCACATGCATACGCTTATAGAGAACGTAAAATAGTAACATACAAGCTAATGTATTCTTTGCTATGGAAAAAATATGCTCTGTAAGCTTTCTCAATTTGAATAACAATCAAGAGACAATTACAATTGTCTTCAACATTTTAAAGACTGTCTACTTCCTTTAATTATATTGTTGGGATTCTTCCTGCTTAGTAGCAAAGTCAAGAAAGCCTCTTCTGATAACAGTTCTAGATAGGATAGCTCTCCCGAGCAGAGCATGCTAGAGCATGATGGTATATATACATCTTTGCAGAAGATCAAAGTGATTCAAATACAAATTTATCTTGAAATCTTCCCATATCCACAAATGAGGACTATCAGTGACAGACCGCATTCCATTCACCTCTCTTCTCAGGAACCAGGAAGAGGGATGGGATCGGCCAGTTTGTGCTATTTGAACAGGACTAGGAATTTACTCTAGAGTACAAGCACCCTGATAGAAATGATCTTGACAAAAGCTACCTATTTTCCAAACCAAGGTATGGAGAACAGGACGTTAATTTTGAATTTGTTCTGCAGTTGACCAGAAGAATGGTAGCCTCACAAGGGAAGGCAATTTTAGGTCCCTCTATAAGATGATCTCAAACAGCTTTGTACTTGAAAAATCTAAATTAATGTAAAAAGAAGAAACCAGTAAATACTTTTTTCTCTATAATTTAGGAGTATATCAAAATTCAGAACATACTATATTTATAGTAAGTTGAAAAATAGGAGTATAAACATTGAAAAAAAAAGTCTATTTTTTTTCTCAGTTAATTGCAAATCTCTGAGGCCAAAATCAAAATTCCACTGGAGTCCAGTAGCCAGCTTGATGAACGAAAGCCACAAAACATCTGTCTTCCCTAACTGAGAGACAGAACCTGTATTAATGGCAGTTCACATTGGTTTCAGGGGCAATGAAGATGGTAAATTCACAAATGAGGCAAAAGTTATTCTCAAGTATTTCAGTGGGCATTGCAGAACTCAGTTTAGTTTTGGAAGCCGCTCTTGACCTTTGAGGATAAAGCACTCCTCAGCCCTTAAAAGTTTACATTCTTCTTCTCTAAAACTCAAAGCAACTCTTGTCTTTTCAGGTGTACAGCTTTATAGTACCAAAAAAAAAAAAAAAAAGTATTTCTTTCTGGTATTTTGTAACTAAATACAATGTAAAATTTAGTATAAGAGCTTTCTCTCCCCTAGCTAGGACACATGCTGTCACAAAGTTACTCAGCAGAATCAATGGTTTATCAACATAGATACCGGATTTAAGCTTCATAGCATAATATTGGAATTGATACTTGTACTTACTATCTTTGAATCAGTACAGTCAATATATACTTTATTAGTGAGACACGGCATTGGCGACAGAAATGACTACAGCGTGTCGCCAGTGAAATTTGTGACAGCAGAATTAGCAGTAAGTGGTTTCTCTAATTTAAAGCTGTAACTTTCAAATACATTTAAGTTATGGACTCCTGAAAGGATTAGATTGGAGACACAAAACCTTACAGTCAGAATGTCAGCCTACCGACAATAGCCCTTGTTTTCTCCTTAATTACCCTATGATGAGACAGGATTGCAGACCCTTACCCTAAAAATCCACATGGTACAGTCACATTAGCACTCCTGCACCACAGTTGATTCAGTTAAAACCTTATTCCTAAAACAAGGAAAAGAGACAAATCTGGCTCTCTAAGTATGTGTTGTTAGCATTGTACCCTTTGAGATATAGGATCCTTGCTGCCTTTTTTCCTTGGTCTCTGTACTCATGAAGTAGAACACAATTAAATGTTGCAACTATCAACCTCTGTCATTTTTTTTTTTAAACTTTTACTGTGTCTGTGCGTTGATAAAAGTAGCAGCACTTGAAAAGAGATAAGGCCAAGTAAGTTTCAAGATCATTCATGTTAAAGACATCAGTACTTCTATTCCTAGTCTTAACCTAAATCCTGAATAAGTAGTGACAAAGGGAGTACCTGCTACTCAAAAGTTGAGAAAGTTAAGTTACTTCCTTAGCTTCTATTCTTGCTTGTGGGAGAGAGATAGGTGATTCTAGAAAGCAGTTCAGAGCAAGTGTTTTAAGTACCGATTCAGGGAAATATGTAAGCATGGCAGTTCCTTTCTTATGCAAATAATTCTTTCCTTGCAATCTGACTTGCAAACTGTCAGCAAGGTGTAGAGAGCTTTTTTTTCTTTGGTGTGCTGACAAAGACTTTCCAAAAACTTCTGTGAGATACCTGTGCTAGTATTTTCCCCTAATTAAGAATAACATCTACCCCATTTTCAGGATGCTTTTGTGTTGACTATCTTCCCATTAACAGTTCCGAAATCAGCATAACTAGTGGAGCAGCTAACTAATATAACTACCTTGCCTGAACTGAGAGACAGACGTTACTCATAGTTTATTCCAGGCTTTGTGTGTGGAGATGCGGTCCCGGTGCCTAAGTTACAGTGATGTAGCAAGTCACTGTCTATAACCCTGGCGGCTAAAGCAAACGCAACACATATTACAACTTCTGTTCCACTACGGAGGGTCAGCTGATGAATGGCAATTTATTTGGCTTCAGAATTTTATTAATTTTTATTTTTCACTCATATCATTGTATCAAGCCACCCAAAATAGATTAAAATTATGCTTTCTGGATATACCTTTCTGCAAGTTGCTTTGTTTTGCTTCTAAATAATCTGATAGCACAGAAAATAGATGCTTCCTCAGGCAGTTGGACTGTACGTCCCTTCCAAGTGGAACTATTCTATTCTATTCTATTCTATTCTATTCTATTCTATTCTATTCTATTCTATTCTATTCTATTCTATTCTATTCTATTCATTATCTGCTTTGTGTAATAGGCTGAAGTCAAATTTTCCACTTTCATCATCATTTCCACACACTACAGAATGTCATATTGCATCAGTCACCTCCTTTGAGCCTGGATACTGTCTGCATCCTGTGTTTTATCATCAAAGCAAATGAAACAAAGCAAAACTGTACATAGTTGCCACTCAGTTACTACAGTGGTCCCGCCTTTTCCTTAGCCTTCCTTTTGCTGCCATGGAAATCATTTTTGTTGCCCCTCGCATCCCTCACTAGTTCCAACTCAAGCTGACCTTTGGTTTTCCCGTCTTCATCCCTGCACACATTGGTAATGTCTCTATATTCTTCCCAGGTAGCCCATCCCCACTTCCTCCTTCTGTGTACTTCATTTTTTCATTTGAGCTCACTCAGGAATTCCCTGTTCATCCATACTAGCCTTTTACCATGCTCACTTGACTTCCTGCATGACAGAACGGACTATTCTTGTGCTTGAGGCTTTCCTTGAAGGTAACGCCTTGGTGTATGAAATGAAGTTATAAGCTTTATCTGTAGGTTTTTCAATCAGAATAGAAGACTTGGTTTTAAAATTATTTTCTATACTTAACCAGGTAATGAAATGGAGTCACTAATTAATTATTCACTACTAATTACTATTAATACAATACCTATAGTGAACAATAGTAATTAAAAAGTCACAGTTATGTAAAGAGGAGAATTAACTGGCACATTTTCTTCTTTTATTCACTATTTCATGCTCTTTATAGTATTCCTGAGATGGAGAAATTGAGCAAGAGGTTGTAGTTTGGTCAGTACTTACAGAAGCTGACTGCAGCTCAATAACTTGAAATTAAAATAGCTGATGAACTTTCACGCTGTAAAGTGGGGGGCAGATGGAATGAAAGAGGAAATATCTAATCCAGTTAAATAGCTATAGAGTGGAGTTTTTTATGTCTCAGCTGAAATTAAACCTACTGTTGTGGCTGTCAAAGGCAGGAGATCAAGGAAGGGAGAGATGAATTATGAATGAATTCGGAACACAGCCATGAGGTGTTCTGTTGAGCTCCCACTGTGTCCTTCCAGCCCCTTTCCTCATGAAATACCAGACTGCAGTTGCAGTTTTTCAAAATTATGTCATTAGAGTTCCTGAATGGTTGCATTATTTTCCACTGAACATACAAGCCTGGTGGTTCTTTCACATGCTCATAGGGGAAATACCACATGAATCCAAACTGAGGGACACAAAATTACTGGTACAAGAAATGTGGAAGAATGTTGGAACTTTTTTCCTGTGTAAATAATATTTTTTCATAATCTTTCATGACTTTTAGATTGTGACACACAGGAAAGATAACAGCAAACTTTTACGGAACAGAAATTGGTAGACATTGTTATGGGGAGAGCTGATTTTCATGCTACATGTAATAATACTGTAGATTATGACACATGCTCCCTTTTCAGTGCCTCAGCCTTCTAGGACACTGTTGCACATGCTGGAGAAATGTTTTCCCCTAGAATTACAAAGAGGAAGATAAACACATAAGTTTCTCTCTTTCATAATTTAATTTTTACCTGATTTTCTTTTAAATCACACTTATACTGAGTGAAACAACTGTAAAGAAGTAGCACTGAGAACTCTCACTTTTATTTTACTGAAAAAAATGATACTGATTTTTGTTCTATAGTGTAAGACTTACCATTCACTTTGTTAGCAACCTTAACATCTGCATTTTGAAGGGCAACCAATACCTATACTCTGAATTTTATAACTAGAAAAAGTGGAGTTGTAATACATAGAGTTGTAATACATCTAATACATGGAGATATTACTGATAATAAAAGTTACAGATTTTAAAAAGTATAGAGTTGGGGGGTTTTGTCTACTTTGTAATTTCAAATTTCACATTGAAGGTTCACGATTGTACTCAAATTACATCAAAAACCTTGTCAAAAAGTTTTAAAGATTATTGATCACAGGTGAACCGAAATTTTTCAGGTTTCTAGCCCTGAGAAAGCTCTGCCTGTGGACATGTTCTGACTACCTTAGCACTAAATGTGGATTCTGTTAGGAATTCTATTCTACTGACATCTCTTTCCTCACCATTTTCAGAAAAATGTCAACAGTTACAGATTTTGTTGTCTGCTTGTCCATAAACACAAACATATAACTCCGCTGCCTTGTTTTTTCAGTCTCTCAATTTCATACATACTCTTGGCTACAGTTTGCCTTAGGTGATTTAGATAACAGACTGACCAGGTAATCCTTTCCTTATTCTCTTATCTACGGAAGAATGTGTGTTAAATCTAAGCAAACAAGGTAATGTTAAACAAGAAAGGTTAAGGAAAGATAAATGAGAAGTGATCATAAGGTTTCAGTATAATGTGAAGGTCAAATCTAGTATCTCACTACTTCTCCATTGAAAAAGCAGGTATTTATGTTACGCTTTCTCTTCCCTCGTGCTAAGTTGTGTTCTCTTATTCTTCTCTAGGCTGCTGTAGTACCGTCGGCACAATCTCTCAACCTAACTGACTTCAAATTCAGTGATTTTGAGCTCTCAGATTTCGAAACAACACTATGTACAATTCGAATGTTCACAGACCTCAACCTGGTGCAAAATTTCCAAATGAAACATGAGGTATGAATGCTGTCAAATGCTGCTTCACATAAAGAGACAACTTAATTACTAGAAAATCAGAATAGTGAAACAAGCCTACAGTAAATATAATTGGAAATCTGTATTAACGAGCAGGTAGCAAACTGGGAAGGTATATAAAGTGGGCAGTACTGGAGTTTGTCCTCAGTTTGGTTCTACTGAATGATTAATAATTTGGTTAATAGACTGTAAAATGCTTTTAGAAAACTTGGGGAGTGGATGTAGAGGACTTGGTTAAAATTCAAATTAGTTAGAAAATGTATAGCAATATTTCAAAACCAGCAAGAGTAAATATATGAAGACTAATGGAGACAGTCAAATATATAAACTAAAAATGGTGAACAAAAGAATAGCTAGTGGTAACAGAGAGAAAACCATTTCACAGCTACTAGTATCAGAAACTGTGTAAAAGTCAATAGTAGCAAAAAGCGGCAAATTTCATTCTTTACTGACAGAGTGATATTAAGGCCTGTGGAGTAATTTTATTGTAGCTCATATTTGAAGAGACACATAGAGATGCAAATTAATTTTTAAAAATAACAATTTAGAAGACTGAGCAAAGTTTGAATGAATTAAACTGGTTTTCTCCAGAAAACAGAATATTGAGGAGGGAGATAATAGCAACTTTTCAGTAACTGAAAGGCTATTATAAAGAAGACACTAATATTGTTCTCTCTGTCCATATAAGGTAGTAAAAGTAATTAGCTTAGTCTTTCCCCTCCAGAAGATTAGATTAGGTTAGGAGGAATTTTATAGTTACAGAGACAGTAAAAACAGATTACTTATGTGGGCTGTGGAAATTTCCCTGAAGTTTTTTCCAGTAGATCTAGTTGTACATATGCATTTGTCAGAGGTGATCTAGACAGGTACTTTTATTTTGCTCCTTGCCCTGGAGGTAGACTAGATAATCTCTGAGGTCTCTTCTAGTCAATATACACAATTTCTATTTGTAAAAACCTTCATTTTTAAATACTTATTTTTGCTTTATATATTTTTCAGCAAAACTTCCAAAGTACAGTCTCAAAATGCAAGATTAATTTGGAGGACTTCAGAGGCAAACAAATTAGTAAAAGAAAACAGGTGTTTATCTTCTAGATCACCAGTTTATAGACCAGTTTAGATTAGTAGTGTTTAGGAGTACTGTATTACCTAGTCCGATCTCTTGAATATCCCAGTACTTAGTTTCAACTTTGTAGTAAGGCCAAGAACTTGTACTTCCTTAAGGGGTATGTCCCAACAGAAGAGAGGGAGTCAGGTAGCCCAGTAATGGGTGGGTTCTAGTTCCTAGTAGAGCAATTGTAATGGATTTGCAAAACCAAAATAACACCATGACAATAGACACATAATTACACATCTCAAGAGAAGCAAGAGAACATTGACAGCTTTGAAGCTACACTTCCAAATTTCCATACTAGAGCTAAAGAAAACTGGCAGTGGCCTAGCACTCCTTTTTTAACAGTGATAAGGCAGAGAATACTGCTGCTTTTGTCTGTGGAATTGTTTACGTGGGTGAATGATACTGGATTTTCATTTGTCAGTACAACATCTTTCAGTAGGAACACTACAAATTTTCTTTTACAAACCAAGGCCTAGATCCTCAGCCAGCATTTAACATAGAGCAGTATGCTGTATCCATTTAAACTGAGGGACCTGTTCTAGTACACATCAAATTACTATCTGACCTTCATACCTTTTACTTTCTGAGAAGTAAAGTATAACCCGCAACTTGTAATACTGTTGTGTAAAACATCCAGGACATACTTTCTTCCTGCATAAAAAAAATACTACCCAGCAATATAGTAATCTCTGGTTTTCTGTCGTACTTATTTGTTTTCCAAAGTCCAATTCTGCTTGGCTTTTGACAAGCTGATAATGAGGGCAAAGCCACGTGTTCATTATCAAAACAGCTCTTAAGAGAACTCTGTAATTAAAAAAAAAACATTTTCTCTATCAAATATGCCATTACAAGCAAGGATTTTTTTCTCCCAGTTAGCTAAACTCAGTTTCTGCATTAACAGCAGTGCATCTGAGACTAACATTTAGCCATTAGTAGTAAAAACCCAAACTCCCACAAGTATTACATACTCGACGAGAGGCTGAAGTGGTGGCTGTAAGCATATTCTTATCTATGTTCGCAGTTACAAGTATGTCATATTGGAACTTAATAGAGTTAAAAGGGTTTTTTTTTCTGTAAGAGAGTTTTCAAGCAGGATTAGAGAGATATATATTTTCATTAAAAGGACTAAATTTCTAATACACTTACAGTTAACTATGTGATGCTGTTTCTTAAAGGTTCTCTGCAGATGGATCTTAAGTGTAAAGAAAAATTACCGGAAAAATGTTGCTTATCACAATTGGAGACATGCCTTTAATACAGCGCAGTGCATGTTTGCTGCTCTAAAATCTGGTAAAATTCAGGTACACTTCGCTGTTTCTACATTAAGAATCTTCTGGCTAAACAAATTCTGTAATGATGCATAGTTCTGATTGTCATGTCAGTAAGATGTTCATCATTCTGTGGTATTGCTACTGAAATCAAAATGTTTCTGATGAAGACTTCTGACTTTAAGGGCTTGGTTTGTGAAACTGTTTTCCTATTGTTACGTACTCACTTTCAGTTAAATCCTCTGGAAATGATCAGGTGGATGTTCCCAATGGCAATGTCTCAAATAAGGCACATACATGATTGTGGCCTTTTTTAAAGTTAACACTTATGCTGCGAGCAAGTCAAAAAGGTGGGGAAGCAAAGGACTGACACTATTTCAGGATGCTTCCTTGAAATATTCAACAGGAAATTTTTTAAGTTCAAAGACAGAGATGAGTACAGCTTTAGACAAAGAATAGAACATTTTTTGGAAATAAAGACTTAAATGCTCATTTCAATGCTTTTGAACAATATTTCAACCTTCCACTTAAAAGACACATAATAATTTAAAAAACAACCCAATCATTCTTTATTACAAATACTGAAGGGTTACATGATCCCCAAAATAAGAAAGATATTGATCAAGATTTTTCCAGAATACGTTTTTAGGTTTTGTTTTTATATTCTTGAAGAAAACAAAATGTTCCTGTTCATTCTGAATTAACATGTTTCTTCAGTTTGATTACAATTGTTATTAGTTGGTTTATACTATTTTACAGTAAGCACTTCTGAGAGAGTAAAGAAATCCTATTTGTAGACCAAAACCAAAACCAATAATGAAGAGGCATTCCCTTTCTCTACAAACTTTGTCTCACTATAAAAAAGGACAAAAAAGTGCTGGAAGAGACACAGGCAAGGGCTTTCATATTCCCTCTATCCTGAAATGGACATGGTAGTTTTGCTCTGTGTGCGGTCTAGCAATCTCTAATGATCTTGAGAGCTTGCTTGCTATTTTTGGAATCCTGTCAGTCCTCACTGCAATTTCCATAAATTGTTTTATTCCTAACTACATTGGATTCACTCCACACTGATTTTCATGTCCTAGATTCTGAAGTCAGAATGGCATTGAATATAAGTCTCTCAATTTTCCTGAAGTTTGAGGGGAAAAGCAAGCATTGGGGAACACATCTTCCTAGGAGAAACATAAAACCAGTCATTTCCAAAGTGATCTTTTGACTAGATTAAGGACAGGTTTCATTATCGAGAAAGCAGATGCAAATCTACAGAAGTCGTAATTGCTTAAAAAAATTTGGATTTGATTGTACAGAGGGTACAGACCCTCAGTGGCAGTGCTGCCACTAGCTGCTCCTCAAATTCCTGTCCTGACTGTTGTGCCTGCTATTCTTGTCCCATTACGAAGTGCTGCATGAATACTGTAGCTTTGTCCAGCCTCTGTTTCTCACTGGACAGATTTAAATGAATTTCCTATCCAACCCTAATGAACAGCGTTAAAGATACAAAATAGTCGCAAAAGAGAAACTGTAACCTCTCCAGAAATCCTTGTTGGAGCTCCAGAATAAACTCTTTAATAATGCGTCAGATATTGTTTAATTTTGTTTTCCATGGGTTTTAAACTTATGTTAATGTTTTTGCCCAGGGACCAATGAAAAGCATGACATTTTTCCCTTCCAATTATTCCAAGGGCATTTTTGAAATGATTTTTTTATACCTAGTTAGGGAACGTAGCCTAACTCCCTTGAGGTAACAGAGGAGCTGAGCTAAAAGTCATGGGGCCAGAATTTTAAAAAATTCCTCATGCTCTCTCTTTGCTGCCAGATGACATTATGCAAGTCACTTCCTCTTCTCCCATATCAGTTTTCTCATCAGTATACATGGGGCTCAGTGATGTTCCTTCTGTACACTGCATTGAGGCCTATGGAGAATGATTTTTACTGGGCACCGCAACTTCAGAGATAACCCCTGTTCTCAGCATACTGGTTTATGTCCTTGTCCTCCTTGGGCCAGAACTGTGTATCTGCTATGTGGGTGAAGACAAGACAGCAGATATAAAACACATTGTGCAAAATAAATCCCTCTCACAAAGCTAACTCACTTCTTGCGTTACTCTTTACATATAGAGCAAACTGACTGACTTAGAAACTCTGGCTTTGCTCATAGCAACTCTAAGCCATGATTTGGATCACAGAGGAGTGAACAACTCTTACATACAAAGGTAAGTAAGTCTGAGAGAAGTCAAACAAAAACAAATGAAGAGCAAAATCACAGAGCTAAATTAAGTACAGCCTAATGGATTTGACGATATGAGGCTGTGCAAAGGAGCAGGTTTTTACGAAGTACTGGGCGCAAGAACAGCCAGAAACATTCAGGGAGTCCAAAGCAAAGATGCACAACCTCAGTTGTTGACTAAGGACCATGGCAGATGAAGTGAACTCTTTGTAGACTCTGCAGGGGCAGCATCTTCTTGCTCCTGTTCACAAGTTCCATCCCCCATTTCCTGTACAGTGACAGCAAAAGGTCACAGCTTCTGAGGGACAGCGTGTAGGAAACGTGCAGCTTTTCAGAGTGCTCTCTGCCCAAACAGCTGTTCCTCATCTAGTCTGGGCCAGCACAGAGCTGAGATCTGCAGCCATCTCATACAAAGGTGTCTCCTTACCATTTTGAACTCTGGTGGTTTAACTCATGATTTAGCCATGTTTTTCCAGAATTCTGAGCTGATTTGGATAAGATACCTATCTAAAATCGCATTAAAAATGTATGATTGTTTTGCATTGATTTTGGGTTATCTGTACTCTTTAACTTTGATCAATTCTGGAATTACAGAAAAAGCTTTACAATGCAAAAAAAGTCAAAATATGTTTTAAAACCTTGAAACAAGATATTTTTACTAAACAAAATATTTCCCTTTGAAGTTATCAAAACGAAGCATCTGAACTCTTCTAAAATTTTATCCATATTTTCATTTTTAACAAAAATTACTTGTCTTTTAAAAATTTATTAATAGTTTCAGATCTGCCCAAAATGTGTTTTTCAGTGACTTTAGTATTCACTTCAAATAACAGTATGAAATTCATAGATTAAATAAATTGACTTAAAACATGTTATAATGTGATTACTGCGATACAGCAATGTGTCCTGATCTGACCAGAGATGGGGAAGACATCCAGAAACATGTACTTGTATCTTTTCCTGGCAGAGTTGGAGAGTGATTTTGAAGCTACCTTTGGAAGAAGTGGTCTGCTCTTCTTGCTGTGTGTAAAGTAAGATACTAGGGGAGGAGGAGTTTGTTTGAGGCAGAGAATACTGAAAGGCAGAAAATAAGTAAGCTGAAGCAGAATTCCTGCCTTTCAGATAGATGTTCAGAATAACACTAAAACTGATGTGTAAAGCGAAAAAAAAAACCAACCCCAAAATGCCACAAAATTGAAAGAGTAACCTTTTTCTAGTTCCTGAACAGGGGATTCCAGCAGTAACTGTAGCTTTGCAGTGATTGGAACCAGTTAGCTATTTTTTGCTTTATTTATTTAAAAATAAATTTCCTGGAAGACATCTGGAGATGCGTCATCTCCTCTTAAAAATGTCCTGGGAAAGTGTCATAGACAGCAAAATCCAACATTCACACATGCTGTAAAGAGGAGATGATTACAGCTTGATAATTCTTTTTCAACAGAAAGTTCCATGAATTTTGTTTTTAAATCCCTCATTTAAATCTAAATTAAAAGTTATTTTTTCCAGGAATTGATCCTTTTTGTTTCTTCCTTGAAAGCAGGGAGAGTGGTTACTTAGCATATGATTCTCTTCTTATGCAACAAGGCTTCAATAATTAAAATGGTCCTGGTAGTAGAAATTACAGGAAATGAACTGCTTAAAGGTCTTTTGGTAGATATGCAGGGGTTTTGTTTTCTTTTTCTCCCAAACCCACATGTAAAGCAGGCAAGCACAGAGTATGAAAACTGCATAACCAAACCACTGTGTTCAGAAAGCAATGGTGTCCTTTGGCTTGGCGCGGTGGTTTAACAGAAATGCTGTGTACTACAGAAGTAGGACCTGAGTTTAGTTCCAGCACTTGTGTCTTCCCAGACAGACAGGGTCTGTAAGTACTGAGCGAGCTGTAGTTTGGTGCAGTACTTGGGAAGATAACCTAAGATATTTCTCACATAATTCTCTCTTCAGTCAGGATGAACTTTAGGGGACACAGTATGCATCCCACTTAAATCAATGGGAATTTCACCCAGCATGTGTTGGCACCATCCTACAATGTTTCCTCACAGAAACACGCAAGCATATTTGCTCTATACTCCTTTTGCAGTGGTCTCAGAGGAGGTGCCGGGCAGACAGCCCATAATTCTCAGGGGCTTGCATCCTTTAATCTCCCCTTCTGTGTTTTTGTTTGTCTTTCCGTCTTTCTCTCCGCATTTTTGTGCTTCTTAAATCCCCAGAGTCTCCTCTTATGACTTTTAGTTGAGTCTCTGTGTGCACTCACTTACACAGGGACCCAATCCTGCAACCACTAATTCATGTGAATGATCCTTAACCATACAAAAAGTCCCGTGGAACTTTATCCTAAACAAGAATTTCTTACATGATTAAAAATTTGTAGGTCAGATTATAATTAGAGTAATAGATTCAGGATCAACAGCAAAACAGACTTCCAAAAGAATCTGATTTAGTTGGAGAGATGACATAAGCAACATGGGACCAGGGGCTGAAAATGAAGATATAGTAGCAAAAGCTAAGAACCTTATTATGCAGTGAGGAACGAGGGAAAATCAGAAATCCTCAGAAAGAAGGAGCTTCAGTATTTTGTCTAAAGCTCTTCAAACAGTAAATTGTATTTTCTGCACTAAGATAGCTTTAAATTCTGCATCCACACGGTTTCATGCTGTTTTTCACTGCCTGTAGTACAACCAACATCTTGTTTCCCTTTTGGATTTTACCCTGGGCAAAGGGTAGGTAACGATATTGTAGTAGTTTGGTCATGAAGAGCGTGGTGATGACTGAAGTACCTATACAGTTATTAACACTGGGAAATTACTTGATCAACATTTTGAGTCCTGCACATTTCGAATCCACTGAG